CTGCGGGGGAGCGGCGTACTCCTCAGCAGGTGGGGGAGCAACGGCAACGGGCTCCCGCTGCTCCGACGTGGGCTCAAGCACAACTTTATCAACCGGGGGCTCGAGGATGGTGACCGAGTCGGGAAGGGGCTTCTTGGGGCCCATCTGACCTTCGGGGTCGGTGCCCTTCATGCTACATGATAGCATGAGCAACCAAAGTATTAGGATAATGACTCGACTTACATTTTAACCTTGATACCGAGCACACCCTGTCGCAGCAGAACGTGGCGGACAGCAAAGTCGACGAAGTCGATGGCGGGTTGACCAGAGTGGATCATGAAGCCGTCGGTGAATTTCATGGATTTGGCACGAGCGGCACGCAGCTTGCCAGAAACAACGACCTCGCAACCTTTTGCGCCGGACTCCATGACGAAACGGAGGACACCGTAGCATGCACTATATCGAACATAAATGTAAGCAGAAGATCGAAACACTGAGCTGGCTAGAATACGCACCGACGGACGGCAAGACCACCGAGCAGCTTGTATCTCAAACTCTCGCACTGAGCGATCGCAGAGAGACCACGGTATTGAACCTTCTCGGCGTAGAGCTCGAGAGAGTTCTCAGGGAACTTGAAACGTTTTTGGACGAGGGCGGTAAGCTCGCGAATGCGGCGTCCCTTCTCGCCTAGTACTTCTTGGGTGTGGGTTGCACGGATGATAATCTGGAAAAATCAGTATTGAATTCCGGAAACAAGTGAAGGCGGGGTACCTCAGTGCGAGCATGGGTGACACGAACGTCGCAGCCAGAGTAACCCTCCTCAGCGAGTTCGCGAGTGAAAAATTCGTTGAGTTCGGCGCGGAAAACACCATCGGCCACAAACTTGCGCTTTTTGCTGATTTGGGTGGCCATTTTGAAGTCTGGAAAATGGTATGAGGGAAGACGAGGGAGGCGGATTGAGTAGCAATGAGTTGAAATATATACCTTGACGAAAGCGGTTCCGCGCAAGGGATGAGTTTGACGAAGTCTGTGCCGCGCTGCCGAGCTGTACAGCTGATGGATGATGCTTGTGACTTGTGACGTGACAGTTCACTTTTAAAGCCGAACCTTCGGCTAAAATGGTCCGACTGCTCTTGTCCAAAACTTTTTCGTTGGCGATCCCATGGACAGGTGAGAACTCCTCCTCCTCTTGCGTTTCTGTCCACCCTTTCCATCCTTTCAATGACGAGTTTGTTTATTACAACCATTGGCACCTCTTAGTCGACTTGAGCCACGACCAACAGGTTCACACCTGCGTGGATCACTGACATGAATGACTTTGCTGAGATTTCCCTTACCTTTTCTCTCTCTCTCTACTACGCACTGAATACTGATTCAATTTCTTTCGTAGATGTAACTAATCCATTGTCTCATATGTTGTACGTTGTCTGTATACCTCCTACAACTTGGCAGCACTACGCGCCTCGTTCACAAATATACCTGCTGCCCCCATACCACTTCCTATACACATACTCGTGCACAACAACGACCCGTTCCTCCTCCTCAGTTCCGCGAGACCGGTGACAACTTGACGAACGCCGGCTACGCAACAAAATCAACTGAAGTCGGCCAAACCAGCCAAGCCTGCACTCACTCATTCCTAACGGGTGTGAGATGGCGATAGCGCCGCCGCTGTGAAACGTGTTCAGTAGCTCGAACGAGTGCAAAAACGATGCACGCACTTTGGATTAATTTTCTCGATAGGAATGGCTAACTGGTCTACACAGTATGCAAATTGCGATGCAAAGGCTTCATTGATCTGTCAAACTCATGAGGTGCAGCACAATGAGTAGACCTGAGTACCCACCTCATACACATCGATGTCCTCCTTCGTCAAGCCTGCTTGCTCGAGCACCTTCGGAATCGCGAAGATAGGACCAAGACCCATATACTTCGGCTCACAACCTTACCGTTCTTGTCAGTCCTCATCGACGGAAATAGGCCAACTGAACATACCGACAACGGAAGATGTAACCCATTTCGCTAGAACCTCCATCCCTTCTTGCTCGGCGCGCGCTCTGGTGGTGAGGATACATATGCCTGCTCCGTCACCTGTCCCACTTGCATTTCCCGCGGTCGTGGAACCATTGCCCCAATCAGGCCAGACGGGTTTGAGACCCGCAAGGGATTGTGCTGTTACGCCTGGCCGGATTGTGTCATCGACGGACAGAACAGTGCCCTTGAGCTCGAGCGGAATGATCTCGTCGGCGAAAATTCCCTTGGCTTGCGCCTGGAAAACGGGTCAACAGTGAAAAGGGATATCATAGCACGAAACGTACTTCACTAGCCCGTGTATGGGATATAAGGGCGTATTTGTCCTGCGTTTCGCGCGAAACATTGTAATCTTGTGCCACCATTTCGGATGTCCAGCCCATGGGCTACGAATGTTTTCAGTACATATATGTCTAGATGCAGAACCAAAGCGTTGACCTGTATGCAGTCATGAGCATCTACGTTCTGATCTACTGCTTCACAAATTTGCGGCGTGGGACGAGGGCTAGCGGACGCTTAAACACGCTGACCCGAATAGAGACAGAAAAACTGACTGCATGCTCATACTGTCGACGCCGACAGCAAGTCCAATGGACGTCTCACCTGCCTGGATAGCGTGCGCAATATTGCGGATTGCCATGAGCCCAGAGGAACACAGACGGTTCACTGTCGAGATTGGAACATAGTTTGGAATGCCGGCGGCCAGTGCTGCAGCTCGGGAAACATAGAGCGGAGAAGGTGGGTGACACGTTCCTGTATTGCGCTCCCGAAAGCCATTTAAGAGGGTGGCTCATGAAATACACACCGACGCAGATGTCGTCAATTTTCGATGGATCTAGCTTGGTCTTCTCCAAAGTTGCCTGTCCAGCGTTCAAGAGAATACGTGCAATAATGCGAGTCAATGCAAACCTTGAACAAGGCATGTAATAGCTCGTCAACCGCAGTATCCTTCAGCTGGCCCTTCTTCATACGACCAATGGCACTTCGTTGAGCAAAAGTAATGACCACATCGTCAGGATTCTTTTGCAGAATGGCGGAGAGGCCATGAGGGGCTTTGGTGCTGGCTGCCCGCAGCATCGGTGCTCGAGGCAAGAGTCTCCTGGCCAACATGGGGGGCGTAGTTAGAGAGCAAGTGACCGTGAACGCTTCGATGCCCCGGATTTATATTCTGCCGCGGCCTCCCACCGGCCGAAGGGAACGGTTCGCGAGATTTGTTAAAGTGCGAGTTTGGAAAAATCATACTGAGGATATGTACATACAGCATGTGCTATGCCCACTATAAAACGACGCGACCGCGCGAACCCAACACGTCGTCTTGGAACATCTATGGTGGATTTGGTTCAGATTTCGTCCGGCCTTTCCACACTCGCGTTAAAAACGAGTAGCAATGGACGCAAAGATGGTGGGCCAGCTTGGGGGTGCCACAGGCAGGGCAATTTACGATGTCTGAGAGTGTGCGTCAGGAATAGGGAAGAAATATAGACGCGCAACGACGCACTGTGCTTATCCTTCAAACCCTTGTTTGCCTCACGCATGGATTTTCTCGAATGGGAGACTTTTTTCTTGGGCACTGCAAGAACGAATGGAGGGAATAGTTCGAGAAGGGACTGCAGTGAAGGTAGCAGCCATGTCCGGGATTGTGTGAGGAGAGCAGGAGCGGCGGCTAATGGGATGGAGAATAGTGTCGATAATATAGGGCGTGCCAGCAGCGGGGTAGCCAGTGGTCGGGCAAAGAGTCGCATTGCGCCGGGCACAGCGAGCGCTGACATCGTTGGAGTTGAGTGAAGAGCTGACGGAAATAATTTTGATTTCAAACTCCGATCAATTCTCTCAACCTTTCCATGTTACGCCTAACTCGTCCTCTGCTCCAGGCAGCGGTCAGGTCCACCACTGGCCTCACCGGCCTCGCAGTTCATCCCGATCCACTACCCGCACTCTCCCAGACTTACCAGAACACCCTCACGACGCTCGCACAAATCCCATCCACCTCTGTCTACCGTCAGGCAACCGAGGCTCTCATACAAAAGAAATTAGACATCGTTAAGGGCGCCAATGCTGATATCACGGCGGCGGAGAAGGGCTTAGATGAGGGCATTATCGAGGAATCTCTGCTCATTGCCATAGACGAGCTTAAACTTGCGGCCCAAATGGTCGAGTGGAAGGCGTAAGTCGCGTCGTATCTTGTATCCGGCGCCTCTTACTCACTCTGAATTTCAGCTGGGAGCCTCTTGCTGAGAAGCCGGCACTTGGACAGTGGGAATACCCTACATAGCGTCGCAGGTGGTTAACAGAATGTCGCGATTGTAATATAATGCGCACTGGCGTCAACATATACTCGGAGGGTTCGCTTCAGGAATAACTCGACGCTTTGACTGAATCGTGCATACAAATGGGTCGAATGTCTGGCACACTATAGCACCGCTCGCTGGTCCACCGCTGGTTCGACATTCTGCGTTGTTCTGAGGCGTGGGCGGCATGACTCTGAACTACTCGCTCCTGCGTTGAATCGACATGAGCTGTATATCTGCTTCACTTCTCTGTCGACGCTAAGGCTTCTAGTCTTCCGACTGTTGAAAGCGACTCATGTTAGAGTCAACGGTCCAACGTTCAAAGGGCATACGAGTAGGTTGTGTGTCAGTTAATTGACAAACTTGACGATACCTGTCTGAGAAAAATGCGTCTCGGATCGTGGAGACCTGCCATCCCAAATTGTTATGTCGGTCATCCCTGGCCGTAGCTGCCGATGTGCTATGTACCAATGCCTTTCTGAAGGGTGTGTGTTTACCCCGCGCTATCCACATCCAGCGATTCGGAAACTTTTCGGAACGATTTTGAAATTGCAACCCTACTCCGACGATTTGCAACAAATTTGTAATACACGAGCAGCTTTGGAAGACGGAGGAACTCACCACGGCTCAGTATGCTCGATCGTTGATGACCCAAAAAGGCAATTTAACGACTCCCATCAATAAAATCAACAAAAATGCCTACGACGCGAGCAGGGTTTGAACCTACGCGGGAATATCCCAACAGATAGTAGAGATTCAAATCTGTCGCCTTAACCACTCGGCCATCGCGCCTTCACAACGTCTCAGAATTGAGATTCCAAGTCGGGGGAAGCTAAACGAACGAAAAACGAGCAAGATCAAGAGTGTGTGACGAATTGTGACAACCGTGACACGCCAACAAACGGCCACGACTGCGACGACAAGCACACTGGGGACATGGATGCGGCTACCGGGCGTCCTCCACCTTTACCAGCTATCTCCCCAGCATGACTTGCTTCCATGATACCCCCCTTTGATCAATCCCTGCCATTTCAAAATGACCAGCTTGTCACCTCCCTCAAAACTCTTGCCAGCTGTCCCCTGGAACCCGGCCCAACGCAAACGCAACCGGAAAATATGTTGTAGATGGTTGAAAGGGGGGAATGGATAGACTGGAGCCTGCAATAATGTGAGTCCGACTCTGCCGAGTTTTTATTCTACCAAGTAATGTGAGGTAATGTGATTTCAGTGACTTTGTTGATCCCCACGTGAAGGGACGCGTCTCTGTGACCGAACGCGTCGAGAATTCACGGACGTCCGTGAATCTGAAAGAAGGTCTTTCTTCGCGCCAATCTCGTACCACCGCTTGCACCAGAATCGCATTTCAGTGCGTCGCAGCCATCGCGTCCCCGGTCTCTACTCACCCATTTTGCAGCTCCAACACCACCGCCCCGTCCACCGGCAGGTTCGACTCCATGTCGCCTGCCTTGATCTAACGCCTGACTTTCATGTCGGCTGCCGCAGTCTGAGGCTTGACTCCATGTCGCCTCTCGCTGCCTACATACATACATTTTCGTTCTTGTTTTCCGTATGGCACATTTTCGTATACGTTTTCCTTCAAGATTGTCCACCCCGTGTCACAATCACCGCGTTCCTCTTCATTTCCTTCTTTCGTACGCTACCCACTACGACATAAACATGGGCATTCTACGTATTGACTTTCATACTTTTCACTTTATTCCCCTGCTTGCTCGTCGTGCCCCTTAGTGAAACCAAACAACTGCGCTCCTTCTCAGCTTTATGGTCTCTGGGATGTGAGTGTAATCCGTCGTTTTACTTTGCCTATTTTGACGCGAATTTCACAGATCAACCCTTCTTTTCTGTTGTCTTGCGGCTGCAACCAAGGTGTGTTTTATGTATTCATGTGCAACCTCTTCTGATGTTTCATAGATCACATCGCCCGAGGCATCCGTGACAATAAAACCTCTCGCGTCGCGCGAAGCGTGCCCCTGCCTACCTCGCCAACGGACGGAGAGGGAGGTTGTACAAAGCACCTGCTGCGTCGCTGTGTCTACTCCCCCCTCATCGCCTCTCCCACCCTGCGGCCTCTCGAATCTCCTGAAGACACACACCTTTCGCGCTTCGTGCAGAGAACAATGATGTCGAGAAAAGGAAACGGATGTCCGCCTAGAGTGGGATTGACGGCGAATCAGGGGCGGCAGGAGTAAGGGAGGCAGAGGAGGGGGGAAAAGACAGAGAAGACATCGCTCATCGGCATTGCGTGCCAACAATTCGTTGAATGAACTTTAATACCTCTACGCGCTTACTCTGTGCGTTATGGCTGAGTCTTCCCCCACCCTCTTCCAACCTGTTCCGTTTCTCCAGTCGTGTTGCAGACAAAAACTATGTCATTGTTGCTGGGTCGAATACCGAAGTGACAGGTTTTGAACAAGAAACGCGTAGGCCGACGCATCGGGCGCGTCGGACGGTCAAAGTCCGAGACCGAAAGTCCTTCCTTCCTCTTTCGACTTCAGATATGAATTTATCCGCGCCTTCTTTGGCTGTCAACCCGCTGTCAAACCAGCGCATATGCATTATTTTCGGTGCACAGTGCCTTGGTTTCACGGTAAGTCTCTTTCCTCCAGTCATCATTGCTGCAAGCTGATAGCTCAGACGTGCAGTATTTATTCAACGCGCGGGATTTCATAGACTATCGGATGGTCTCAATACGGTCTCCTTGCCCTTTCTGCTATCGTCCCTCAACTTCAATCACATTTCTGCTCGGCTCCTTTTACACATTCACAGTGCCGATCCTAATTGCTCTTACCGTTTTGGGATACCAACTACTACCTATATATCTTTCCCCAAGATATCGCTGAGCTCATCCGTCCAGAAGTGCTTCTTCACCTTCACATTTAATGTGTTCCGCCAGCTCCAAGATCTCGATGTGAAGAGCAACTGCAGTGAAATTCACGGGCACTGAGGATGAAGATCGGGCGACCTCTTTCCTCTCCTTCTTGCCTCGTATCCTCTCTCTTTTCTCTCATTGCCCAATGTCCTTCAAGCGGACTGTATGTCTCAATCTTCCTGTGTCCCATTCCTCATCTTAATTCTCTGCAGGGCAGCAATGTTTCGACGAGCGGGCCGGTACATATTTATTCAAAGTCTTCAAATTCTCGCTCATATCTCTTCTCAGGCCCCGCGCAACAAGAACGCGCGGGTTTCTAGTCGAGTGATATCTGACGCCGCGCTTTTTGAGGTTCAGGGCGAAGAGTTGCAGGACGAGGAGTTCATGACTGGCTTTCCAAGCCAAGAATCTGTAAGTCGTCGTCTCCTCCTCCATGCGATTAGCTGATTTGGTCAAAGTTCGTTCGCCCGCCAGATGGTATTGATGAGGTATACCTTTGATTATACCGGGTGCTCTTCATTGACTCTTCCAAGGTGGACGAGCCCGCAAGTTCTTCAGCGGGTCTGGCTGCCTCACCGAATCCTGTGCGTAACTTGTTCCCACCCTTTCCTTGTTGTTGACACAGGGACAGTCTTCCTCCCGGCAGAAAGAGAATCTTTCTCGCGATGGATTGCCAACGTCCCGAAAAGCAAACCGCAAAGAGAAGCACATATCCAACACGGCAGGTCTCCAGATTTACGTCTTGGTTGTAAAGCTCATCCTGTTTTCAGAATCTCAATGCAGCTCAGGTTTGTGTTGTGATTTGGTTATATCGTTCAAACCTGACGTGCCAACCTAACGTTCCACAGACTGAGCAACACTCTTCCAATTCCACGGAAAAGGGCAAGGGCCGAGCCCTGGATTCCTTGCCGCTGCTCTTGGATGAGGTTGATGACAGCGAGGTACGTTTGATTGAATTTTACGACCAGGTCGTCTTGCTCAATGCTTCCCTAGAATCACACGTTCCTCCATCCTGGCCGCAAGTACACTGCAGAGGACGCGACGGCGCTGGTCACCCGAATGTGGACCACACAAGTCCAGGATCTACATTCCTGGGCTTGTCATGCTCGTGCAGCACTCCAAGCACCGACATCCACTGTCGACCGACTCCAGGATGTTCATGCTGCTGGCGCAAAGTACCAGCACATCCACACTCTCTCCACTCAGCACCCCGTATACAACGGTCTTGCCCCTCGTACGCGAAATTTTTTCCTCAATATAGCCTCGGGCAAGCCGTCTAGTGCCATTGCGGAAGGCATTGAAAGCGGAGCCCTTGTACTGAGCCCTGCAGGAGATTCACGAACAAGCACAGGCCAGTTCACGTACGTGCGCGTTCCATCCCCTCGAGACGACTCTCCCGAGTGCACACCAGAGGCGTGTGCATGGCGCTATGTCACAGCCTACCCCGCTGATCTCGCATGGGGTGTCTCAACTCTTCTAGCGCTTGGGTTGGAGTTGGAGGCGGTAAAGCAAAGGCTGTTGAACCTGGCAGCTGCGCTGAAGCTTGATGCGGATGGGTTGACACCGTTACTGGAATGTCTCTCGGCTACGGCATTTCCCTCCACCCCGGACTTTGGTCTCTACTTCGGTGTCACCGACAACCAGACCCCACGCGACCGCCTGGATCAAGACTTGAAAGAGCAGCATACGAGGTTCTCCAACTGGGCTAAAGTCAACGCCGACTTCGTAACCTGGGAGCCGTATTACCTGACAGACCTCATGCTGCCCGCGTCGACTGGCCTGCGAACAGATTCAGTTGCTGGAGACACTGAAGTGTTCGCTATCACCGTCTCGGGTGCACATGGATTCAACCGGGCGGTCGGCGGGTTCATCCCAAAGTTCCTCCCTTCTCCAGCAGCCTCCACTATCATAGCCGGCTGGCGGCAGTCTCCATCAGTGCCGTTTGGTGTTGATTTAGCTCGGCGTCTCACAGCCAAAGTTACCGCCTTCCTCCAGGATCAAAAACATTATTTGCAGAATCATGTCGCTGCGGTCATCTCTGACCAATCGTTCAAGTCGGTGGTTCAGAATGGACCCGGTGTCTTTCGACGTCGCGGTTCTGCCATCCCCGGAATTCGTTTCCTGGAAACGATAACTTTGGAAGACTTCCAAGCTCGGCGTGGAAGCCAAGTGGTTGGAGGCCTCTGGTCTAGTACTGCGGGGCGGGCTCTCAAGTCGTTTCGTTACATTATCAGCACACTCTACCCCGACATTCCCCCCGACGGCGACCTCGATCCGAGCACTATTGCTTCTCGTCTGGGTCCGACATTTGATATGTGGCCATTGACAACTAGCAATGTGCACTTCTGGCCCCACTGCCTCTTTGCAAGTCGCCTTCTTATCACGACGGATGCCGTTGTTACGTGTTCATGGTCTGAAGTCGTCGACAGCATCTTCAGCGGAGGGTATCTCCATCTCGCGTGGCGTGGAGTTCCTGCCGACATCCAAGAGGCCTTTCTCAAAGGGCACACACCCTCGAACATCCAGGATTTCCTCCCCTCGACCCCTTCTAAGTTATGGACTCCGCCAAAGACGAGTGCCGCCGCGTATCTGGACAAAGTTGGAGTGATTCGTATAGTCCGATATGGCCCGCATCGCAACCAGCTCATCATATATATTTCCAATCTGCACACCGGGGGGATCAAGCATGATCCTGCCAGCGCGTACTGTGCACACAACATCATCACATCTGTGGAGATATTAAATCGTATGGCACTGGACGAGGTTCGTGTCATGGAGGAAGAAGAGATGGTTTTGGACCGGCAGACTGGGTCGGAGGAGGATGTATGGTCGTTTCTTGAGGCGGTTGTGTCGAGAACCAACGCCAAAGCCGAGGCGTGTGGTCTTCGCAAGGAGCTGGATGAGC